CGCAGCCACGCAGCCCAGGGATGGTCCCGGAGGTGCGGTGGCAGTGGTGCCTCCTGGACCGGCCCAGACTGCGTGGCCATGGTGCCTCTGGCCTCTAGGGCTGGCCTGGGACTGCAGCCTGACCTGCTGAAGGTGGAGGGAGCGCTCTGAAGTGGTTGCATAAGGGGAGGAGGGACGAGGCTGAACTCCTTCTCCCATGGCACGTGCCACAGGTAGGGCATGCCCATTAGGGGGTGGGGCCTGGAATTGCCTTGCGAGCCGGATCAATGCCCTAGGCAGGCCAGATCTGGCCCACAGAGGCTTTTGCCCATCCCTGCTGTTGTACTGTAGTAGATCTGGTCCAAGTATTTCTTTTTTTAAGTTGGCTACACACAAAAGACGATACTGACTGCCACAACAAAACAATACATACTTAAACAATAAACATTCGCTCATACCTGCAAAGCATTCATACTTGCAAACAATTTTTCCATCATAAAAATAAAGGGCTTACCTCATCCCATTCTAAGAGAAAATTAGTTATTTTGGAACCATTATCATTCGAAGACTGAAATAAATAAAATAAAATAAAAAAAAGAAGGAAAAATGTTAGGCTCAAAGGTTTAAAAGCAGAGTTTAATTTTACATAGACACTTGGATGCTGAACTGAAAGATTTTACTAAGGTAACTAAGTAAGGGCAGAAACCTTATGTCTAAAACACTCATTTTAACTGTACAATCCACATAATATCCCATCTTTCCCTTCTAATACACCTCTATTTAAGCACACTTTTAGTGAGCATTTCAGACCTTATTTGTGAGAGTATGGGAATACGTGAATGTATTAATCCCAGTTTGATTTATGAACTCTATGTTTATATCCCTTGATGTCTTTCACTATCTACTTGCATCGGTCAAAAAGGCAAATAGGATGCTAGGAATTATTAGGAAAGGGATAGAAAATAAGACACAGAATATCTTACTGCCCCTGTATAAAACTATGGTACGCCCACATCTGGAATACTGTGTACAGATGTGGTCTCCTCACCTCAAAAAAGATATTTTGGCCGGTCAAAAAGGCAAATAGGATGTTAGGAATTATTAGGAAAGGGATAGAAAATAAGACCCAGAATATCTTACTGCCCCTGTATAAAACTATGGTACGCCCACATCTTGAATACTGTGTACAGATGTGGTCTCCTCACCTCAAAAAAGATATTTTGGCCTTGGAAAGGGTTCAGAAAAGGGCAACTAAAATGATTCGGGGTTTGGAACGGTTCCCATATGAGGAGAGGTTAAAGCGACTGGGACTTTTCAGTTTAGAAAAGAGGAGACTGAGGGGGTATATGATAGAGGTCTATAAAATCATGAGTGGTGTGGAGAGGGCTGATAAAGAAAAGTTATTTATTAGTTCCCTAAATAGAAGAACTAGAGGACACCAAATGAAATTAATGGGTAGCAGGTTTAAAACTAATAAAAGAAAGTTCTTCACACAGCGTGTTGTCAACCTGTAGAACTCCTTGCCAGAAGAGGCTGTGAAGGCTAGGCCTATAATAGAGTTTAAAGAGAAGCTAGATAATTTCATGGAGGTTAGGTCCATAAAAGGCTATTAGCCAGGGGATAAAATGGTGTCCTTGGCCTCTGTTTGTCAGAGGCTGGAGAGAGATGGCAGGAGACAAATCGCTTGATCATTGTCTTCGGTCCACCCTCTCTGGGGCACCTGGTGCTGGCCACTGTCAGTAGACAGGATACTGGGCTAGAAGGACCTTTGGTCTGACCCAGTACGGCCGTTCTTATGTTCTTATGTTCTTAAAGTGACTTTCTTTAATGGCGGAAATTTTCTTTTAGCTCTCAGATGAAAAAGTTGTGAGATGCTTATTATATTATTTTGATGGGGGTGTGCAGACCCTCTGAAAGGGGCTTGTCTACACATATAACACACAACAATGTCTCAGTTGTGTTACTGTAGCACTTCAGATTAGACATTCCATATGCTAATAGGAGGGGTTCACCCATTGCCATAGGTAAACCACCTGCCCAGAGGTGATAGCCTGGTCAATGGAATAATTCTTTCATTGACCTAGTGTTACCTATACAAGTACTTAACCTAGATTAACAACCCTTAGGGGAGTGGATTTTTCATACCCCTGACCCATATAATTTAACCAACCTAATTTTGTAGTGTAGACCAGACGTAAGGAATTATGGAGCATTATTTGAATCGGCAGCTACAGAGCATGCTCCAAAAGGAGGACCTGTTTAAAAAGGGAGTCCAAGGCTACGTGTACACTTCATCCCTCTTGCGCAAAAGCCTATGCAAATGAAGCACGGATTAGCATATTACTGTGCTTTATTTGCATAATTAATTAGGGGCCGTTTTTGCGCAAGAGGCTTTCACACAAAAAGGAGCTGTCTACACAGCTTCTTTTTGTGCAAAAACAACCTCTTGCACAAGAGCCGTTCTTCCTCATTTTTTCAGGAAGAACGGCTCTTGCACAAGAAGGGGTTTTTGCGCAAAAAGGAGCTGCGTAGATGGCTCCTTTTTGCGCAAAAGCCCCTTGTACAAAAACAGCCCCTAATTAAGTATGCAAATGAAGCCCAGCAATATGCTAATCCACACTTCATTTTCATAGGCTTTTGCACAAGAGGGATACAGTGCAGACAATCTCAGAGTCAAGCAGGAAGGAGTCTATTTGCAGCAAAGTTTGCAGCTTCTGCACCAAGCAGACTTCAGGGGAAGCATACAGACTGTGAATAAAGACTGGACTAGGAGACCAAAGTCTGGCCCCCCTAAATTCTCCTGTTTCTCAGTGACAAGGGAGAGCACTTGGGTATTGAAAAGTGAGCAAGGAAACCCTGACTGATGTGTGAATGATTGAGACTGTGAGAGCAACACTTTGAGAGGGAAGCTAAGTGCTGGGAACACACTCCAAACTGAAGTAAGAGAAAGTGAGGTAGGAAGTGCCCTGGGGAGGCTAGTCTGTTAAGACTCTCCACCTTTTCCCCCTTGGGCCTTGGTTGGGACCTGGTGAAAAGGAAGGGCCTGAGACCCTGTACCCTTCCCTCCTACCTTGTCCAGTTGAGGGAACACAGGGAACACTGTACCTCAGCCACTAGGTCTTCAGAGAGCCTAGCAAGGCATTCCAAGACTGAGATCGCGAACCCATAGCCTGCCCTCAAGGCCTGCCAACCCCAGGTGAAGCCTTTAACATAAGAAATTATTATAGAGACTATAAGAATAAAAATATTTCCTCTCGCTAGACAATTTTAAAATAATTCTGATGCCCACCTCAAGTCACTGTAGCTGAGAAGTCATGGTGGATGTTGAGCTGTAGTCTCTTAAAATACGTACTAACTGTACCACATATAATGCATTAAAACAAGCAAAGCGAAAATTCTGGGTCAGATCTGCAGATGGGATAAGTCAGGGCAGGCAATGAAGTCAATGGAGCTGTGTTGATTCACAGTAGCTGAGAATCTGTCCTTCTGACTCAGTAAGAGCTCTAAATACTTTTATTCTGTTCCACAATCATGTGTGGTTTTTTGCACTCCTTTTCCCCCTAATGGACAGGGAAATAGCTTTGGCTTGTTCATATACCACAGTAAGTCAATGGCAGTGATGACAGAAAAACATTTGTGTCTTGATTTCCAGTATGGTGCTTCAACTACAGGCTCACATTCCCTGAATCTGAACTAGCAGACCAGCAAGTTGAGAAATAAGGGCAGGAATGTGGGCTGCTGGGCTATCTTTTGATAATTTTGTACTTTGTGTTTTGGAAATCACAGTGGCTGGTGAAAGCAAGTGGTCTAACGCCTAGTGCAAGTTTTCCAGCAATTTCCTGGGACTAGTGTTCTGCAGATCCTGAGCAATTAAGAAAAATCCCACATTTAATTGTTATGTTTGCCTTATATCTTTGCAGTAGGTATACCAAAATCCATACTTTTTATATATAGGAAATCACAAAAAAATGGGCACTTTCAGATTTTCCTACTGCCCTGTCCTAGCTAACTATATGCAGGAGTTTTGCTTAATAAGAACATGAGATTTTGGGATTAGAAAACCACAAAAATCAAGTGGCTGAGGGGACCTCTGGGAATCTGGAGTTGCTTGAAAAAGTCAATAAACTTTCTCTAGAATGCCCTTGTGCTTTCCAGTGTGATATATAATATGGTCCTCATAGTTTTTCCTGAACTACTGGTGGACTAGTAGAGCAAGACTTACAACATCCATCTAACTAGGCACTCCTTGCAGACAGACAGAGGTGAATACTCTATATAACTGTTTCAAATAGTGCTGTTTGCTTTTATTCTTTCTTTTTTTTATCTTATATACATATAAGGTCTTCTTTGATTGATATCCATAGATACTTATTAGCAAATCTTTTACAGAAGATTCATATATGTATATATTTAGATTTAGATTTGCATAATGATATAAAGATCTGATTAACTAATAAGGAAATTCTTTGCAATGGAATTTAAGATAGAAGTGGTAAACAAATACATTTAATGATATAAGTAAACTATATAATATTGTTATTATTGACTAGAGACAACAGAAACAGTCAAATGTGTAACATTTATGTGTCTTTATTACAATACCCTCGCCATTTGTATATGTGAAAAAAACCTTTTATTGTACTAATAATTTTCCCTAATGTTGCCTATCTCTACTGATCAGGAAATTGAGTCAAATTTTATTTCTGATGCACCCCTTGATCTTTTTTGTACTAATTCCCATATGTCGTGCTGCTATTGCTCTACTCATGCCTGAATAATGCAGCTTGTCTTCATGTTTGTGACTCATATATAGGCATATATATTTGCTTTTACTGTTGTTACAGAAGTTTACCTTAGGATACTACTCACCTGTCCAGCAGTGTCTAGAATGTCCAAGTAAGCCGGTTCATCATCAATTCGTACTTGAGTTTTATAAGCATCCTCTGAAAAACACAAGGCAGTAAGGGCAGCTAAGTAAATAGAAAAGGAAAAAAATTTGCGGGTGTAGAGTGGGATTTTCAAAAGTCTTCAGTACAGGGTTCAGTTGGACCTGGTTTACACTACCGCAGAAGGTTAAATTAAGATACACAACTCCAGTTACATTATTTACATAGCTGGAGTCAATATACCTTAAACTGAGTTTCTACACCATCCACACAGTAAGAGGCCAATAGGAGCAAATGCTCCCATCGGCTTCCTTTACTCCTCGTGAAGAGCAGGAGTACTGACACCAAGGGGGGGTGCCCTCTGAGTTCAATTTAGCTGGTCTTCACTAGATCAAAACCCGGAAGATCAGCCGTGGCAGTGTCAATCTTCCACATAATGTAGACACAGCCTTGCTGCCCACTGAAGTCCACAAATGTTTTACCATGGATTTCAGTGGTGGGTGAGCTAAACCAACTCTGACAGCTTTTGGAAATCCCAGCATAAATGCAAATTTAAAGCTAATAAGGAATTTAGGAAAGGAGAAGGGATCCATCCATTTGCAATACTCCAATTTACTAAAGGAGTGAAATTCACTCCATGCAGAAGGCTTGCACAAAGCCAATGCACCAAATAATCCCCATGGATGCCTAAGTCTTCTTCTGGCTCTCTGCCCAAGCATGAATTTCACTTAATAGAAATAATACCATGAACTTTTACAGTGCCTTTCCTCGAGATTCTTCAAAGTACTGAACAAAAGACCATTGGAATTACTGGGAAAGACATCAATTCGCTTCCCTGAGCTTTAGATAAGCCCCTAGGTGGACACTAATTAATTAAGCCTCACAACATTCCTATGAGGGAGGTAAGATGATGTATTAAAAATAAATCACTGCATATTCTCACCTTGAACCACTGTGTTTGCTGGACTATTCTTTTCACTCTTAGTTTGTCAAGCTATATTATATTTATTTATTTAATTTATTTAGGGTATGTCTACACTACCCCACTAGTTTGAACTAGCGGGGTAATGTAGGCATACCGCACTTGCAAATGAAGCCCGGGATTTGAATTTCCCGGGCTTCATTTGCATAAGCGGGGAGCCGCCA